TACATAATATACATACAGTTACATTGTTGTAGTTACTTAATCTTAGGTGATGAAACAGTAACGAATTGTGTGTGACGATTATTCTTTTAATAAATATTGCTTTACTTACCGTAAGCTGACTGGATCTACGTGAACCTTGGGCCGCATTAAATAGAATTTCTCAATCACTCCAAGGGCCGCCAACAAATACATGGTTCGGGCCACATGGGGCCACCTGGGGGCCGCGGGTTGCCCTGGCCTGCCTTAGAGTGGTGGTAAAATAAGCCCTAGAACGTTTAGAGTAAAAGACTGTGGTTGCCAACCCTCAGATATGAGGACGGTACTCTGAATGATTGAATCTAAGTGACCAATCAACATTGCTCTACAGCTAAGTAAAAATGGCTACTACACAGGAGAAAGCTCTTGTGACGTTTGGTTCGCGGCGCCACAATCAGTGAAAATTGTGAGCACAATGCTCCGGTGGAAAAAATGTGGTTCGATATGCTAAAAATTGCGTCTTCCCAACTGAATGAAATGCAGGCACTGGCAGTCCACTGGCTTCCACGTGAAGGTGTGCCATAGAAACATAAGAAAACAAAGAGTCTGCAATAGGCCGGTTGGCCTATGCATGGCAGCTCTAGAGCTCCTGTCGAGAGTTACTACCACTCTCTATCATCCATGAATCTATCTAGCCTCCTTTTACAACTTTCCAGCGTTCCAGCACTTACTACAAAGTTGCTAAGCTTGTTTCACTCGTCCACCACCCTATTTGTGAACCAGTTCCTTCCTATCTCCCTCCTAAACCTAAACTTATCCAACTTAAATCCGTTGCTCCGAGTCCTATCCTGCTCGGATATTATAAGAACTTTATATATATCCTCTTTATTGATTCCTTTCACCCACTTAAATACTTCTATCATATCTCCCCGCACTCTTCGTCTTTCTAGGGAATGCAAGTTTAGTTTCTTTAACCTATCTTGATATGAGGTTTCTAAGTCCCGGAATCATTTTCGTCATTCTTCGCTGCACCGACAACAGTGAATTGATATCCATTCTATAATAGGGGCACCAGAACTGAACCACATAGTCGAGGTGCGGCCTGACTAGCGCAAGATATAGTTGCAATAAGACCTCTGGACTCTTATTACTTACACTTCTAAATATAAAACCTAATACTCTTTTTGCCTTCTTTCGAACATTAACGCACTGTTTTCTAGGCCGTAGGTCCGGGCTTACAAATACCCATAAGTTTCTTTCACAAGTCGACTTCTCTAGGTTGATGTTGCTAAGGCTGTATACATTGACAGTATTTGTTCTTCCAATATTAAGTACGCTGCACTTGCTGATGTTGATTTTCATTTGCCATTTTTCAGACCACCCCTGCAGTTTATTTAAATCCACCTGTAGTGTATTTGCATCCTGCCCTGAATTAATCTGCCGCCCTATTTTGGTGTCTTCCGCAAACTTGCTTATGTTACTGATGATCCCAGTATCTAGATCGTTTATGTAGATTATGAACAAGAGTGGGCCTAGTACTGACCCTGGGGAACCCCACTGGTTACACAGCCCCACTCAGATTTAACACCTTCTACGCTGACCCTCTGCGTTCTATCGGTGAGCCATGATCTTATCCAATTTAAAACTTTCCCCTCGATACCATGAACCTTAACTTTTCTCAGAAGCCTCTGATGCGGTACTCTGTCGAATACTTTGCTAAAGTCTAAGTAAACAACATCGTAATTTTCGTCATTATCTACTACCTCGAAGACTTTCCTAAAAACCGTCAGCAGATTTGTTAGACAAGATTTTCCCTTTGTAAACCCATGTTGAGAGTCGTAGATTAATTTGCTTCTATCTAAATGCGATCGAATGCTATCTGCTATAATTGATTCAAGAAATTTCCCCACTACTGACGTCAAACTAATCGACCGGTAATTTGACGCTGATGCTCTGTCTCCCTTTATGAATATGGGTACTACATTTGCCCGTTCCCACAAGTCTGGCACAAATCCCGGTCTAATGATTTTGTAAATAAGTTTACGAGGGGTCCGCTAATCTGTTCCCTACACTCTTTCAAGACTCGAGGGAAAATTTCGTCCGGCCCTGGGGATTTTGTCTTCTTTAATTCATTTTTCCTCTTATGAACATCCTCTTTTCTAATAGTGATATTCTTTAATTTCTCGTATTCCTATCCCCTAAATATCAGTTCCACCTCAGGAATTTCCTCACAAATTCCTTCTGTGAAAACTGATAAAAAGTAGCTGTTCAATGCTTTGCTTATTTCTTCACTGCCTTTGTCCTCGACCTTTCTGAGATTCTCGTGCGGACACACAAACAAATAAACAAATAAACAAACAGACAGACAGACAGACTTCTCTGTTTTATATAAAAAGATACGCAAAATAAAAACAAAAAACACAAAGAACCTCACCATCCGACCACTAACTTTGTTGTTCATTAAAGCTTTGAGCAATACAACTTTACGTCTTGGGTTTAACAGCTTGACGTACTATAATGGACGAGTTGTCGGTCGGAATTTTTTCCGTAAGATTGCAGGTCAATGGGTAACTAAAACACTTAAATTCACTATGGTAATGTTATTTTTAAATAAATTTCGCCAGAAAGGGTAAAAAAAAAATAAGAGTTAAAGTAGCTAAGAAACCACGTGACTGCGAAAAGCTCCGTGATTGGTTGTGATCATCACTGGTTGGCTCAAGCAGCTGAGCAGGAGCCTGGAGGCAGCCAGCTGTAGTGTAAGTGTTGTTACCAGCAGAAATACAAGACTTGTGGCCATATACAATGTTGATATACACAGGTATACCTTATTTTGTAGGTTAAAATCAATTACTGCTCCAGTATCATCGTGTGTATTTACTTACTGGCTGCCTAAATGATACAAAGACCGATAACTTCAACATGGAAGTTTTCATCACTGTTCTCTGTTTCATGTCTGGAAAATGTAAGTTTTCGTCACTGATGTTTATATTTAATGTTGTGGAAGGACTAGGGACGACCATGACCAGGGAATGGGCTGAGATGATCAGATGACAGATGTAATTTAACGTGCTTCATAGATGGATGGCGGAGTTCTTGATAATACTCTACAATAATATACACATCTACTTTGGGTAAATTTCTTTCATCTGCCTTGATGAACCCTGGAAGTAGTTGTCCAACCTAAATGCCCTTATCACTATAGAAGAATATGCTAAGTGTAAAGGAGTCGTGTGAATATCAATATCGCTGATGTACAACAACTGATTGTAGTAATTAATAAATAAAAACTGATTTTTATATACAAATGTGTTCATTAAACAACATTACTTCAAACATTGCAGGGCGGATCCAGGCATATCAAAAGGGGGGGGTCCAAGAAGTTGTTGGTGGGGGAACATGGTGAACACGGCGAGACCAGCTGGGGAAAATTGTTTGAAATCTGTCCAATATCATGGTGTACTGAGCACATCTTTGTCATTCCTAAGAACCCATTTTAATTCATATTACGCTACATAATATTCAAATCCACCGTGCTTGTAGAATCTCAGGAGAGACATGTATTTCCCACCTGTTTTACCCTCAGGATCACTGGCAGTAAGTCCCGCCTTCGAACACAGTTGTCACAAAGTTTATTGCACTCTCTACTGGCAAACGCAACCTTGAATTAGTCTGTTTAAATCAACTTTTGTAATTCGCCAGACCTTTGTCAACTGAGGGTCATCTTTGAATGAGTAACAGTTAGTTTGTTTGTGATTATTGTCATTGCGTGAGTAGCGATCACTGGCAACTCAGGGGTATATAAACTCAAGCTGGCCAGGGAGCGCGTCCCCTGACGCTGCCCCGTTTGTCTCCAGATCGAGGGTGGGCTTAATTGAAACCCACCGGTCGCTCGGAGCCGGTGGATACCCAGCAGTGGTCAATAGAGGAGTGATGGCGCTGATTCGGCGTGATTAATCGGCTCTACTCTAATCGTGGGCCGAGGACCCCAAACCCATCTCGGGTCGGAGTGTATCCGACCACAACAGCAGTTGTTAGAGGCGCCAGTGCTATACCCTGGGACAGGCCTTGGAATTATGGTCCACAGTGTGGTTGTATGTGTTTTTTACCAATATGTTTATAAGAAATAAATCAATTAAGACATGTTATGGTTTCACCCTTCTTTACCCTTATCGATCTGGTCAATGGATAACCTAACCCAATGCCTAGTCCACTCTGCCCGCTACCTAACGAGCTACATGCTGTCCAGAGGGGGTCTGGTGGCAGCGACCCTTAGAAGTTAAGATTAGAGTTAAGTTATCCCCTTAGATTTAGTGACCCCAGTCTGCCAGTATAACGGACATTTTGAGGCCATGTGCACTTGATATTTGGGAATATTCCAAAGTCAATAGTAATTACATTTTACTATATAAAAACGCCAGAAGACAATACTGCCTCTGCATTGTGTTGTCTCTTTGCCTTTTATTGGACGGGTTCATGTGTGCTAAAAATATCTAAGTTATACCTCGACATTTGAAAGTTTTCTACAAAGAATTACTAATTAGTTGTAAGAAAACGCGATCGGATACAGATAGTCGGATGAGCGGCAGACCTGGCGATGAGTTTGTTGGAGACTTTAAACTTTTATTGCAAATTATATATACCGCATCACTCTACGAACGTGGCAGAGTATATTTCTTGTGTTTACCCAGAACCGTTAGCTCGTCCATTCTTCTTTGTAACCTAGATTAGGTGAAGCAGATAGGTTTTTGCCACAAGTCATTAAGTACATGTTTATTGTATGTGTCTTTGATCACGCAGGCAATTGAAGGTCCGAATCCGAAATCAGTGATTTACCAGTGTAGGATGCGAACCACACAGACTTAGATGCGTCTTAGTAAACAGATAATAAAATAATAAAACTCTCATGAATGAGTTGTGTGTGGCAGAGAGAGAAAAAAACGTGGATCATCTGAGGCTAAGAAGTATGGATGATAAAATTAATGTATACTAAATTAAATTCACTTGTAGATCATGTTAACACTTACTTATTAGCTTGTTAACACTGATTCAGAGGGAGACGTGATGGCGGCTGAGGTTGAGGATGATCACCGAGAGAGTTGATGGTAAAGTAGAGGGGCTCAGGGTAGAAGTAGTGATGGAATTGGTGTCACGACGCCACTGATCACGGTTGGGTACAATGGAGTCTCTTCTGCCCAGATTTTATGGCGACACACTTACATCTCAAGTGACCTACTCCAAACTGTTGATCATTATGACAGGCTGCGTTATCTTCACCAAACCTACTTTTAATGGTATCTGTACCAGTTTTATTTTTCCATCAGGGTGTAAAATTACTTTTTGTCGGGTGTATCTACAGATCCCCAAATTGTATCCCACTAAATCAAAGGAACTTAAGAGCCTTAATAGACAACCCGGCGATGCTAAACTCTAGCCACCTCCTTATCATGGGGGATTTTAACAATGGCGACATCGACTGGAGAAACGAGTTCACCCTAAATGACGTGAATAACCCTGCTACTCTTTTTGTATAAACTCTGAGAGATAATTTTCTGTTCCAATATGTTAAAGACCCGACACATTACAGAGGGGAGCAAACACCCAAGCCACTTGACCTCATCGTAAGAAACGAGGAGGGTATGGTGACCAAACAGGAACACCTTGCCCCAGTTGGCACCAGTCACCATGTAGTTTTGTCATTCAGATTTAAGTGTTACGTAGTTCAAGATAAAGCCAGGCCAAGGTACAAATATTACAGGAGTAATTACGGCGGGATGAGAGAAGAGATGAAGGGTGTCATGGTTTTGGTTTTCGTGGTGGTGTATGAATGGATTCTATTATATAACGATTATAATATGTTGTGTTTCTTATATTTCTTACCATAGAGTTCGAAACCTTCTCACTGGTACTTACAGGAGATTATGGTGTATCTACGCATAAGTTCACTCCACCACTCGACATTCCATGATTTATACTTGATAAATGATGATTTAATAAATTCCATTAATTTCCAACATCCATCAAAGTTATTGATTATTCTTTGTCATAACTGTGTGTATATTATGTATGGCGACATCTGGAAGCTGCTAATGTACCACTTACCACATGTCGCCTGAGAGGTCAGAGTGAGGTCAGTTGACCCTATAGGAGTGTAAGGACAACCTGCGCTTGTGAGCGCACTCCTATATACTTCCGTTAATAAGAACCTACAGAACTCTACAGGTGCTTATGTTCCCTCCTGTAGTTCGAACCAAGTACCCGGAACACTCTCCATGGCGCAGTGAGTATCAAGTGATCGATAAAATGGAAATAAGTGCGTTCGTATAAAATCAAGAAGGGTAGACCTCCTCCCTCAACTCCGTCATCCGTCGCCATTGTCTCCCCAAAAAATTCATTTGAATGACCAACGAGTTTTGAGCAGTGTGCAGTGACCGCAATTTCCTGTGAAGTGTCTTTAAGAGCCCCTCGTGTGTGTGTAGTGTTAAAGTGTGAGTCCTTGTTTTAAAGGATTTCCTTGGTGGAAGGCTGATATAGTAGGGTGTGTCATAGGAGGGAAGTTCAGCTAAAACTAATGGCCCATCACTTTTTTGGTAGATGTTAGTGTCTATAAACAGAAAATAATTTCAGTTTCAATATTTTGCAACCTTTTGCTAGGTAAATTTTAGCGTGAAATTTATCGAAAATCTAACGTACAGCTGCATTAGTGCATTACAATTAAATAGTGAACATTGCTTTCTGACTTCATTCTTTAACAACCCAACTAACAATATTTTTTTCTGTTTCAGATTCTGATGCATTTATAAGTTGATAATATTTGCGATGGCTGCTTGTGTCGGAGACGAGGAACCAAAAATCCAACCATCTCAGTCACTATCTTGGGTCTGGGAGAGAGCTCCTGAAGTCGGAGTTGCCTACATTGAGAGATGCTTTGAGATACGGTGTTTTAATCAGGCAAATCAGTGAAAAGAACCAAAGAACTTACACAAACAAAGACATTGCCAGTGATATGACCAAAGCTGTCTTGGCACAGTACACTCTGGCTAACGCTCAGTTCAAACCTCCAGTCATAACAAGTCAGAAGAAGATTAGTGAGACTGCTAGCCAGTTGGGAAAAGGCAAGAGATATCTCTCTTGGGAGAGGAAAACTTGCAGTTAAGGACAGCTTTGCCAAGCAACTGGACCAGTTATTTGACATAATTACTTGCAAGTGCCCAATTGTTCTCTGTCCTGAGTTTGGATGCGATCGTGACTGTAAATCCGAGGCCCACATCTCCTGTATTTGCAAGCGTGAACTGAAGATTCCTGTGATCGAACTGGCATTTGTCAAAGCACAGAGAGAGAAGACTGGCAGTATAGGGGCTCTCATGATTTCTAGCCAAGATATTCCGGAGTCCAAGAGACAGGAGGCTGCCACAGAGAGACAGAAGAGGAGAAGAGTTGCCGAGGAAAAAAGACTTGAGAAGGCCCAGGGTGAGGAAAAAAAGGCCGATGATTGGAGTCAAGCTGATTCAGAGTTTAATGACTTCCCCATGGCTGATCCGAGTGCTGACCAGGAGAATGGTGACTTTGTCCCTAACCCAGAAAATAATGTTCCCAAACCTTCCAGGCATAACATTCGAAATAGGAAAGATATCCCGAGCATAGCTCTGGCCAGCATGCGACACGACACTGGTCTCAGAGAAACTGCAGAGATAGCAACAGCTGCCTGGATTGACGGTGGTTTGATAACACCTGATGATGTTCACCTGGTGATAGATCATAACAAAGTAAGGAGAGCTCAGGAGAAACTTGTCAGTAACCTAGAAGAGGAGTTTGATAAGGGGATAAGAGAAAATGGAATCAATTGTTTGTTCTTTGATGGGAGAAGGGATGACACTAAAGTGTTCATGAAAGTTGGAGATTCTGACAAGTTGTTCCTTGCCATGGTGAAGGAGGAACACTACTCCTGCTGCAGTGAACCAGGAGGGAAATATTTGTGGCATTTCACTCCAGAGAAAGATGACATCAGGAAACCAGCTGAGATAGTGGCAGATAACATTGTGAACTGGCTCAGAGAGAGGAACGTAGACCAGACCCTGCAGGCCATTGGAGGGGACAGCACCAACACGAACACAGGGTGGCAAGGGGAGGTCATACAGTGGATAGAGCGGAAGATTGGGAGGAAGCTGGTCTGGATTGTTTGTGACCTCACTGGCAGTTGCCACTCAGACATCTGATCCAGGAGCTGGATGGCAAGACTCTTTCAAACAACAGATGGTCTGGTCCTCTTGGTAAAGATGCTGGACTCTGCCACTGAGTTAGAAATAAATCCGAGCTTTGAAAAAATCACAGTTGGCCCTCCACTCGTTGAGCTTGCACATACTGTCATTGACGACCTGAATACTGACCAGTACTATGGTTACAAGATTTGCAGTGCCATCAAAACTGGGGTCATGCCTGATAGACTTGCTTACCTGCAGATAGGTCCAGTCTCACATTCTAGGTGGCTCACAACGGCTCTCAGGTTCTGCAGAATTTGGGTCGCTCATCATAAACTAAAAGGGAACCAGCTTCACAACCTGAGACTTATTGTCCAATTCATCGTGAGTGTCTACTTGCCAAATTGGTTCAACACCAAGGTCAAGTCATCGTTCTATCGAAGGTCCAAGGGCATGTTCTCTTCCAGCTTGAGCTCCTGAAGTCAGCCAAGGAAGGTTGTTCAGATTGTGGAGCAGCAGACTGAGAGATCTTCCTGGTATGCTCATCCCGGAGCAGTTCTGCAGACAATGCTCTGCAGTAAGGATGAAAAGGAGGAGAGTGGCAATCAAAAGATCTTGGATATGAGACTTATGAGAGGATCTGGGCACTTGACGAATCAGGGTCAGGAAGACTCCTGAAGTCAATCTAGGTGCCAGACTTCTCACTGATCTCATAGATCTGGATAACATCAGGCTGGCAGTGAGCCCCCCTCTTACCTGCAGCCTCACCAATGTTCAAGTCAGAGCTTTCCTGGACAACCCCATGCATGTCCCTGCCTGTTCGCACACCCAGAGTATAGGCGTTATTGTACAGCAAGTGAGCAGGGGCCAACAGTCCGTCAACCACAACCAGGGAGAGGATGGAAGGCTACATCCGAGCTCAGGTGGTCAGCAGGAAATTGATGAGTAGAAACAGAAGCAAAGACATGTTCTCTATGGTGTGCAACAACACCGGGTCGTAGTAATAAGAACCGGTTTTGTATTTGATGATTTTGTTTCTAAGGAATATTAAATTTAATAAATGTGTCAAGATCATTCGTTTCCACTATTCTGGATCATCATTTTCATCCTAATAAATTTACCTGATACATTTACTTTACTTTAAATAAGCTATTTAGTAATTGTTGGTAAGGGTAGAATACTGAATTTTCATAAGATTTCAAGTTAAAATTTACCTAGCAAAAAATGAAAACTTTTCAAATCTGAAGATATCACACGATTCTGCACATAGAACTACATCATTAATACCATGGGCCGATTTTTCAAACCCCCCAAAAAAAAATTTGCCTCCGTATGACACACCCTACTGATATAGGGCAATTGTGAGGAGTGGTGCAACAGCGTGACCGTCCCCGGCTGCCTGGAGGGTAACTACCCCCACAGCTCACGGCTCACCCCCCACCGCCTCCCTTTGCGCTCCCACCGCCTACACACACCAATTCACGTATGGACACACCGACTGCGGTCATTTCTTCATATATATATATATATATATATATATATATATATATATATGAAGAAATCACACGGGAGAATGGAAACAACGGAGTACCTTAGCTTTCGTCTTTATTCAAGACATCTTCAGAGGCAACTCTGAAGATGCCTCTGAAGATGTCTTGAATAAAGACGAAATCTAAGGTACTCCGTTGTTTCCATTCTCCCGTGTGATTTTATCAAGATTTATCTTATCCACGTTTTCATTGTGGATTTACATGAAATACATATATATATATATATATATATATATATATATATATATATATATATATATACTATATATATATATATATATATATATATATATATATATATATATATATATATATAATATATATATATATATATATATATATATATATATATATATATATATATATATATATATATATATATAAGACTTATCTGTGTATTCAATTAATTTTGTTGTCTCAGATCTGGTTGA